CACTAGACTGGTCCACAAGCAAAAGAAAGAAATAAAACTAGACCTGGTCAATCATATAGCCACATAAACTCCCCCACACTGAAAATCAGACAATGTCCCCATTGTCGATCCGCAGTGAAAGGAGGTTGTACTGACACAATCAACCGACACAACAAAAGAAAAGAGAAAAGACAAAAAGAAACAAAATGAAGAGAAAAGAAAAAGAAAAGCTAACCAACACAGTGACAAGTCACTGTGGTCCATGAGGAGGAGAAGGAGGAGGTGGATAGGGATGGCCGGTGCCGGAGCTCCACTGAGTGTACCGCGCGCCCCACTGGCTCTGCCAAAGCTCAATAGCCTGAAAGCGGGCATTACTGTCCCGCATATCCCGATCATAGCGGTCCTCGTAAGCTGTCCACCACGGAGGAGGCTGGGACCACCAAGCGGGTGGTGCAGATGGCTCCGCTGGCCGCGGAGGCGAACATGTGGGCCGTGGCTCACTGGAATCAGCCTCCGGGGTCGGGTGCCAATCATCAGGAGGCGGAAGGCGATGGTCCTCGTCAATAAGAGCCTGATCGTGCTCCATCGCCTCCGTCTTGTGGGTATCCGCGGTCTCCTGCCGAGGACGAGACGAGCGGTCTTCAGCCGCGGAGGCGGCCGCGGCCACCTTCTTCATATAGGTGAGGTAAGCCGGGCGCTTCTCATAGATCTCAAAGGCACGGCGATTAAGGAGGAGGCCCACATGACTGAGCTCGTAATAGTCAATGAAACGCATACTCGAAGGAAGGCTGCCAGACGCCTCCGGGTCAACCCCGAAGTGCAAAGCCAAAGCGGTCACTATATGACCAAAGCAAGCAGCCGCTCTCTTGTTCCGGATGACGGCCCGGCACTCCTCCTTAAAAATATGCAACACATCGCGCTTCTTCCCCTCGAGCATAGCCCACAGCAGGGCAAGGTCAATCTGAGTGACCTTATTGGCCTCCTTTTTCCCGAACACACCATAGCACAGAAATTTGTGCATCACCGCGACAGCACCGTCCTTGATGAGGCTGTTGGGTAGGCCCTGCGAGTCCCACACCGTGTCTGGAGAAAGTCGGGGCCAGAAAACATCAGGCGACATCCCCTGATTGATCCTAGAGCCGCCACGGTGGAGCCCCCCATGACGTCTTTCATGATGTCGGCAGTGATGATCCTCTCTGTCCCAAGTAGACGGCACGTCATGTAGTCCTCGGTCGCCGGCATCTCGAGGGTACTGAAAAACTCGAGTGTGAGGTTGCGGTATGTCGGGTGGACCAAACGGGCATAAGCCTTCAATCGCAACGCGTCAAGGTAGGTCTCGACGGTCCCGAGAATTCCCAAATCGGAGAGCAAGGCGAAGTCGAACGTCTTCAAGTTCAAAACGTCCTTCTTCGCGAGCCGGGCATAAACCTCCCCCTCTCGTTCGGAGAGAATAGGAAAGGGAGCATCGTAGTCGGCCCGTAAATCAACCGGCTCGTCCCGAGAGGCAGAGGACTCCCCGACGGACTTCTTACGCCTATTACCGGTCCCTTTCTTCACCATTCTTAAGACAAACTTCACTTAGGCAATTAAGCAAACACTTGTGTGCAACAACTTCACTCAGAACGGCAAAGAAGAACTTCAACGAAAGGAACCCAAATTCAAGCCCTTGTCAAGTCAAATGCACAACAACCAACACCAACAAATCCAAAGTTTCGTAAAACAACAAAATATGGAATGACAAGTACCGGAACCACGGGTATGCGGTGAACGACAGGGAAGTGAAACCCGAAAAGGAACAAGCGGTGTGCGTGGTGCGTGGCGTTGAGTCGCTGCCGGTCAATAGACGTCCGACGCTGGAGGCTCGGCGGTCGCTGGTCGGAGAGCGGAGAACAGGGGCTAGGGTTCACGTCTTGAGGTGAAGCAGGTGAAGGTTTCGAGCTCGCTGTGGATGAAAGGGTTTGCCGAAAACGGAATGAGTCGGAGCCGCGGACGGAACGCCGAGACAAGACTGGTCGGAGGGCGCAATTGATGGGACTAGAGCTAGGGTTGCCGAAGTCGCGATTGACGGAAATTTGGGCGAAGACATCGTCGATGAAAGGATGGCCGGCGAGGAAGCGACGTCGGAGAGATGTCGCCGGTGGTCAAGAGGATGAATGGAGATGGTGTGATTTGAGGGAGAGGGTCGTCGGTCGTGAGAGTGTAATCGCGAGAGAGAGTGAGAGATAATCTGCAAAATAAAACGAGGATCCCGTCAATTTAATGAGCAACAGGTAAGTCGCGAGTCGCGAAAAAAGCTGCAAGCGACATAATTTCTTCGATGGGGATACTCGCGAGTCGCAAATTCTGTGTCGTGAGTCACGACTTATGTGTCGCGAATCGCGACAAAAACTGGACCGATGACATCCTTCGAGGGCTAACTCGCGACCCGCGACATAACTCGCGACTCGCGAAAAACTACTTTTATATATATATATATATATATATGCAATAAAAAATAGATATATATACACATAGTACAATAAATGCTCGGTTTTAAGCCGGGAGCTCGGCATTGATGCCTTAGATCAAGGATACGCTGGGTCGCCGAGACTGATGGTCTCGACATGGTACTTCCCGAACTCCCCATCAAAATATGGCTTCACTCGCTGTCCGTTAACCACAAATAACTTGTCAGTAGCTGGATTGCGAAGTTGAATGGCACCAAAAGACAGCACCTCATCAATAACATATGGGCCACTCCACCAGGACTTCAGTTTTCCCGAAAAAAGACGGAGTCGGGAATTATACAGAAGAACACGCATGCCCGGTACCAGATCCTTTCTAACAATATGGGCATCATGGAGTCTCTTCACCTTGTCTTTATAAATCTTGGCATTCTCATATGCCTCGTTCCTCCTTTCTTCTAACTCCGATAGTTGCAACAGTCTAGCTTTCCCAGCTGCGTCTAGATCAAAGTTAGTCTTCTTAAATCGCCCACAAAGCCTTATGTTCAATCTCCACCAGTAGATGGCAAGCCTTCCCATAGACTAGTCTGAATGGGCTCATGCCCAAGACGCCTTTGGATGCTGTTCGTTGAGCCCACAACGCATCATCAAGCCGGCTCGACCAATCCTTCCTCGATGAGTTGACTGTCTTCTCTAAGATGGTCTTTATCTGCTTGTTGCTTGTCTCCGCCTGGCCCGAGGTTTGTGGGTGATAGGGAGTAGCCACTTTATGTGATATACAATACTTCTTCATCAGCTTCTCGAAAAGCTTGTTGCAAAAGTGCTTCCCTCCATCACTCACAATTGCTCGTGGGAACCCAAACCTGCTCAATATATGACCTCGCACAAACTTGATCACAACATTAGTATCACATGTCTTTGTGGGGATGGCCTCGACCCACTTAGACACGTAATACACAGCAAGTAAAATGTACTCATAGCCACTAGACTTGGGAAATGTTCCCGTAAAATCAATGCCCCAGACGTCAAAAATTTCTACTTGAAGGTTATTAGTCAGAGGCATCTCATTTCTATGACCTATATTCCCAGGTCTTTGGCATCTATTACAAGAACGGCAAAATGTATGCGCATCTTTGAAAAGGGTAGGCCAAAACAAACCTGACTGTAGAACTTTGAAGGCAGTTTTCTGGCCGCCAAAGTGGCCTCCACAATGGAACTCATGGCAAAATGTGAGGACATCAATTTGCTCATCTTCTGGAATACATCTCCTAAGCACCTCGTCCTTCCCCATCTTGAAAAGGAATGGCTCGTCCCAGAAGTAATCCCTGCACACAGAAAGAAAACGCTTTCTCTCTTGGGAAGAGAGGTCAGGCCGCAGTTTTCCACAACATAGGTAATTCACAATGTCAGCATACCAAGCACTCTTAGACACTTCATGCGCATGCTCATAAGGAAAATTATCATTAATAGAATGATGCACAATCAATGAAGATGATGAGTCAGATGGGACTATGCGTGACAAGTGATCAGCAACTACATTCTCAGAACCTTTCCTATCTCTAATGTCAACATCGAACTCTTGCAGTAACAAGATCCACCGGATGAGCCTTGGTTTAGAATGAGTTTTGCTCAAAAGGTACTTCAACGCCGCATGGTCTGAGTGTATAATGACCTTAGACCCCAAAATATAAGATCTAAATTTTTCTAGCGAAAAGACCATGGCTAGAAGTTCCTTCTCGGTGGTAGTATAATTCTGTTGGGCCCCATTAAGAGTCAAACTAGCATAATAAATCACTCTAAGCAACTTATCAACTCGTTGACCCAAAACGGCGCCCACTGCAAGGTTAGATGCATCACACATAATTTCAAAAGGAAGCGACAAATCAGGGGCAATGACAATAGGGGCACTTACAAGCTTGTTCTTTAATTTATTAAAAGCACTCAAGCAAGCATCATCAAAAATAAATGGCATGTCCTGAGCAAGCAAGTGGCATAATGGTTGACTAATTTTCGAAAAGTCTTTAATAAAACGCCTATAAAACCCCGCATGCCCCAAGAAACTCCTAATTCCCTTAACATTCACAGGAGGGGGAAGTTTTTCGATAACATCTACCTTAGCCTTGTCTACCTCCATCCCCATACTAGAAACAACATGGCCTAAAACAACACCACTCCTAACCATGAAATGGCTTTTCTCCCAACTCAAAGTTAAATTAGACTCAATGCAACGTTCAAGGACACGAGATAAATTATGGAAACAATGAGAAAATGAATCACCAAAGATAGAGAAGTCATCCATAAATACCTGCAGGCAGTCCTCAAGCATATCCGAGAAGATGGAGAACATACACCTCTAAAATGTACCCGGTGCATTGCATAGGCCAAAGGGCATCCGTCTGAACGCGAAGGTGCCAAAGGGGCACGTGAAAGTCATCTTTGGCTGATCCTCAGGTGCAATGGCTACTTGGTAGTAGCCGGAGAGTCCATCCAAAAAGCAGTAGAACTGATGGCCCGAAAGACGGTCAAGAATCTGGTCAATAAACGACAACAGAAAATGGTCCTTCTTTGTCACAGCGTTCAGTCGCCTATAGTCAATGCACATGCGCCACCCAGTAGTGATGCGGGTGGGGACCAACTCTTCTTATCGTTCTCGATCACGGTTATGCCTTCCTTCTTCGGCACCACATGAATAGGGCTAACCCACTCACTACTCGCCACTAGATAGATCAATCCCTCAGAGAAAAGTTTCAGCATCTCCTTCTTCACTACCTCCATCATATTCCGATTTAGCCGTCGCTGGCTATCCCGAAACGGCTTAACTCCCTCCTCCAAAATAAGACGGTGCATGCATGTAGATGGACTGATCCCTTTCATGTCTCCCAGGCTCCACCCGATTGCTTTCTGGTTCTTTTGGAGCATAGCAATCAGCTCCTCTTCTTTCTCACGGTCAAGCTCAGCAAAGATGATCACCGGTTTCTGTTGGGCATCATCCAAGAAGACATATTTAAGGTGCTTGGCAGCTCCTTAAGCTCAAGTGTGGCCTCAGCTCGGGAATGGCCTTCTCCCACTTCAAAAAGTTCAATTATAGGCTCATCCTCATCCTCAAAAACTGGCATTGATACTTCCTCATACTCGTGAATCACCATCTCATCTACAAATGGGTCGGCTAGGTCAATGAAAGCACACTCTTCGACAAAATTCACCGAGGAGGCAGACATGGCTCCTCGAACGGAAATGGACACCGTTTCCCCCAAAACAGTCATATTCAGGGTTCCATTCTTCACGTCAATAAGGGTGTTCGTAGTCGCTATGAAAGGTCTTCCGAGAAGGATGGTGTGATCCTTCCCATTCTAGTGAACATCTCCTATGTCTAAAACAACGAAATCAACTGGAATAATAAGTTTGCCCACCTTCACGAGAACATCCTCGACTATCCTCTTCGGATACCGTATGGAACGGTCCGCCAACTGGAGACACATGCGGGTCGGCCTCAACTCTCCAAGGCCGAGCCTCTGAAAAATCAAAAAGGGCATGAGGTTTATTCCAGCTCCAAGGTCAAGCATCCCCGAAGCTACCTTCCCGTTTCCCAAGGCTATCTGAATAATGAACCCACTGGGGTCACGCTCCTTCTTGGGCAAGTCGTGCTGCATTGCACTTGCCGTCTCATACACAACCACTTATTCTCCATCCTCGAACTTCCTCTTCTTCGTCACCAAGTCCTTAAAGAATTTTCCATAGGATGGCATATTCTTAATAACATCAAGGAGAGGTAAGTTAACATTTACCTTAGAGAGCATGCTGAAAAGATCCCGGAACTGCTTCTCTTGCTTCTCGTTTCTGAGTCGGTCCGGAAAGGGAATGCTCGGCTTGAATGGATTCGGTGACTTGTGTAGTGCGGGCTCGTCTGTCACCTTCTCGGACTCTTCTTCCTTGATCTTCTCTGCATCTATCCCCTCACCGTCAGGTTCTTTGGTCCCCTCTTGGTCCTCGGGCCCAGGCATTTGCACCGTGTTGTCCACTACCTTCCCGCTTCTGAGAACCGTGATAGCTTTAGCTTGCTCGGGTTGGCTGGGCAACTTCCCTTTATCAGATTCGGTCTCCATGTGCCCGACCCTAGTGGCCAGTTGACCCACTTGCGTCTTAAGACACTTAATGGATGCATCTTGATTCGTGATAAACTGGAGGATTTTATCGAGCTTGTCGTCTTGGAGGGATGAACTTGGCCCGGCTTCTGGTCCTCATTGCTGCTGCTGCTGCTGGTAGTTCGGACGGGGAATGAAGTTGGGTCGAGGTTGTTGCTGCATGAAATTTGGACGGGGTGGCTGAAGGGTGTTCGAGTTGTTTGACCATGAGAAGGCAGGGTGATTCCGCCATCCCAGATTGTACGTGTTCGAATATGGGTCATTGCCAGGCCGGGCTTGGTATCCCTGTAAGGCGCTGGCATCTGCATATTGCTCACCGGACTCCTGGTCGAAAGCTGAAGGGCACACTTCAGACCTATGCCCCGGGGCTCCACAGGCCCCACACGTATCAACGGCCATGGTCTGAACCGGCTGAGCTCCTCGTGTGTTGAGTAAACGCATTTGCTCTGTGAGCTCAGCTAACTGCTGGGCCATCACATTTCTGCCCGACCCGACCTCGTTCACTGTCACTCTCTTCCCTCGGCTGCTCTTCTGCGATGAATTCGTGCTCATCGTCTCGAAAATTGCAAACATCTCCTTAGCTGTCTTTGCTCCAATATCTCCTCCTGCCGCATTGTCAACCATATACTGCAAGGTCTGATGGAGAGAGTCGTAGAAGCAGTTGATCAGTAGCCCCGGAGAGAGGTTGTGATGAGGGCACTGCCGCTGGAGATCCTTGAACCTCTCCCAAGCCTTGTGAAGAGGCTCATTCGGTAGTTGAGCAAATGAGACGATTTGCGACCGGAGCTCCTGGGTCTTCTGATGGGAGTAGTACCTCCCAATGAACTTCGTGTATACCTCAGTCCAGGTACTGAGAGAGTCCGGTGCGAGGGTCATGAACCAGGACTTGGCCCGGTCCTTCAGTTTCTCGGGAAAACACCTCATCTTCAGTTGCTCTTCTGTAAGCCCGTGGAGAGGGAAAGTTTGTAACACATTGTAGAATTCCCGAATGAAGTTAAGCGGGTCTTCATTCGGGAGCCCGTGGAAGGATGGCAGCTGGTTGTAATGGATCATCTTAAGCTCGTAGTTTCGAGCTTCTTGTGGCAACCGGATGCATGAAGTTATCGGCACAATCATCGGATGGGCTAGGTCTCGAAGGAGATCGCGGTGTTGTAGAGCCATGTCTGGATTTGTGGTTTCAGATTAATCGAGGTTGAGTTTGTTGAACAGCTCCCTTACGCTCTCGTGACTTGGTTCGTCGTTTGGTCCTATGGTACGCCCACTCCTGGTACGCATACACAAAGACAAAGAAACCGTCACGAGCACCAGATAAACAAAAGGAAATCCTAAGAAAAACAAACAATCAAAAATCAAGAATTATCAGACTAAACAAAAGAAACAAAGAGAAACACTAAAAAAAAAACGAATAGGCGCACAATTATAATCCTAAACCTTCCCCGGCAACGGCGCCAATTTTGTTGTCAGTATTTTTACCGGAGTAGAATCGAAAGATTCGTCCCCTGGTCGTATCGCAAGGAAGGTTAGCCGGATACTCTTGTGCGTATATTCAATCACGAAAAAGAGAAAAGAATTCCTAAACACTCTAATTCAATATTTTTGGGTTTTGATTATCAACTACTGATTTAAACTGAATAAAATGAAAGCAAAATAGCAAATGACTTTACTGAATGATTAAAGTGATAGGGAATCGGGGATAATTGCTTTCGGTTCTAACACAATCACCGGCAATCGATTGCTCGGTTAAAGGTCTTGAATCGTTTCTCGTCCAGAGGTTCACTCTCTATAACTCTTCGTAACAAGAGAGTGAATGTAAACAATCAACTATCAATTCCAACAACACATAGATAATACGTTTCCGAACAAATCTATTCTAAACGAGCCTAATTCGACCAACGTCTCCCCTCTCGATTCTACACGTTGATTATCTAGGTTAGAAAGGTGATCAATCTACTAACCCTATGATTCACACAACTCGCATAGACATGAACAATCAAAAGCACTCAATTATAACGAACCTAATCAATCATCCTCTATCCCTAGCGAATGGATTTAGCTACTCATAACGAATTTAACATCAACATTCAAATTAACCCAAGCCATCATCATCAACAAAGCAATTGAGAAAAATAACTTAAGATTAATATAAAGAATCCAACGTCAAATCCAAGTGCATCCAAATCCAAAGCGAAGAAAAGGAGTTTTTCAATCTCCAAGACAAATCAAAAGTGCAAAAGAAAGAAAAGGAATGAGTTTCTCTTCTGCCAGAACGTAAAAAATAAAGTCTGAAAGGGAATAATCCACCCTAGGATCAAAAATTGGTCTAAAAATCCCGCTCCTCGAAAATCGCACCGGACAAGTCGCGAGTCGCGACATAAGTCGCGAGTCGCGAGACAGCGTTCTTCTCGGTCGCGAGTCGCGACTTCCTCGCGAGTCGCGCGTCGTCTTTTTCTTTAAATTCTGGGGCTGGTCGCGACCTAAGTCGCGAGTCGTGACCTCGTCTCGCGAGTAGCGACTCCGTCTCATGAACTGCACATTAGCCCCAATTTTTCCCGCGGGTCGCGACATGTTCGCGAGTCGCGACCCGAGTCGCGAGTCGCGAGACGACTCGCGAGTCGCGAGAAATCCTGGGAACAGATTCTGTCCGTTTTTTTTGCCTTCCTTTAATCTTCTGGGCTCGGCAACGGGTATTCTCGATATCATGGTCTCGGCTCAAATAGTCTCAACCTCGACCGGCACAACCTACCTCCTGAAAACACAAAAACAAGGAAAAACACGAAGCAAAACACGACAAAAAGACACATGAACAAAAACTAAAGTCAAAAACACAAAACAAACAAAATAGACCAAATAAACTACGAAAATCCTACAAATGGGGGAAAACAAAACGAAAATAAACATGAAATAAAGACACAAAAATGGGACAAACAGCTGCTTATGTGTACAGGACTTAACTGTGGTCATAAGACCCTTACTCGGCCTTGGCCGCTCGTGTGCACAACCCGTGAACGGGTACCAGGGGGAAGATTAAGACCCTCTGTAATGCCCCGATCATTATTATAATATTAACACAATTTCACTGCTCAACTTTAAAGTGAAATTCGTAATTTTCAGGAATTCAAGATTTATTTATTTTATATGCTAAATGCTCAATTATGTTAGATTATTCTTTAGAATTTTCTAAGTCATGTTAAAATTAAGATCAATCCATTAATTTGAGTTGATAAGCATAAACTAGTCGACTCAAGAATTTTAGCCTCGGACCCTAGTCTCGATCCAAATAAATATCCAAGTCATTTCCGGGTATTTTTCGCATGTCATTGCCAAGTCATAGTAGTATAATATTTAGAATAATTCTAAGTATTCAAAATCTCCAAATTCAAGTCCTAGACCTCGTTCGAATAACCGAAAGTTCACCCGAGGCACTCGAGACGTGCCGCGCCCATCGGCCCCGAGACGAGGTCCAAGACCAAGCCTAAGTCCTAACCAACACTTGGTATATTTTTCTAAGTCATATGAACACAAGAAAAGCCTCAAAAATCGGTTCGAGCCTCATTCACGCGCCCAAACCGATGTCCCCGCACAGCAAGTCCTGTCCACGTTCCCAGCCACGCAGTCGCGTGCCCCGCACGCGCCCAGCAGGCTTGCCCCGCGCCAGCCGACAGCGACCAGCCCACCTTCCGAGCCCATTTCACAAAAATCCGGCCCACTTTCCCCGAGCCTAATTTTGTGTGAATAAAGCCAGCTTATTAAGGAGTTAATTGAGTCCAATTGACCCTGGTCAAAGTCAACCCAAGAGCCCCTTAGTCTTGGTCCTAAGTTAGTGTGAGACATGATATTAAAATATTTTCTTGAATGTTGGAATAGTCTCCCACCACCTAAGAGCTGAAGACCAACTCGGTTGCACCCTCAAGACACCCCAAAAATCATGCCTCACAAGTCACAACCCAAGAAAGGATGTTGGTTCCCTCCTCAAAGACCTAGGTGCCTAGGGTGTGTTTTTGTCCCCTTTATGTCGCCTAGGATGTCCCCTTGACCAAGGTCTTGGTCCTCCACCTCTAAAACGTTTATAATCCCTCCCCCTCAGATGAAATAAGCTCTTAGACTCTTGATATTTCGTCCAACACTTAGCAAAATAGAGGAAAACCGAAGGGAGCTCATCCACCCCTAGCCATGTGCGCGAGAGGTCCGAGTGAAGGAAGAACTGAGCTCCAGCCCTTCCAAGCGAGTTATCTTAGGACTTATCACTTCCCAAGCCTTCCTTGGATTTTTATAAGTCTTGTGTGCTCATCATCGCAGCCATTTTACCCAAGACGAGACCTATACTTCCCTAAGCCGCGAGCAACCCGAGCAATATCCCTAACACCAGTTTTTTTTACCTTTTCGGTGAAGGTAAGTTCGAGAAACCCTCTTCCATTAGTCATTTTATAATAAAATGAGATTTATCATGAAGATAAATGAAGTCATTCATGCCACTAAATATGAGTTTCGATTTTTAGGATTTAGATATCTTATTTTCGAATTTTTAGCCACAAGCATGTGAAAGCGGAATTTGATAGCTTAATGTCACTTAAAAATCATGAGAAATAATATGTGTAAGTTTGAGCTTAATGGGAGTACATTTGTTCGGTCAACTAGTCCATGAATTTATGCTATTTTTCGCTCCTGAGCCACCGTGATGTCCATGTATGTAAAGCCTACCATGTTAGTCTTGAAAATCATGTTTTCTCATGTAAATAACTCGTCCATACTCATTTATGCTAGACTAAGTAGTTGGTTCGGTGCCCCCGTGCTCGTACATGCCATATCGGCCCTACCGAGCCCTTAGTATTTTTACCCGAGGTCTCCTATGGCTCCTATGCATTTTTATGTTGATCTCATCATATTAAGTTAATAGATGTTTCATGTCCCTAGAAAAACCCACAAAAAGTCAAAAGGGGTCGGACACGGTCAATAGTCGCGCC